AACAGGTCCTGACTGAAAGGGTGAGACAAAGGCTGGCAACTTCAGTTTCCCAGACACTGCTGCAATTGTTGTACTGAGCCACTTATTAAAATTAAGTGGGTTCCGTTCTGTAGAAAAGGGCAGAGTGTGGTTGTAGTGTCCCATCGGAAGTTGATTAATTTCCTGGAACAGCGGGAAAGGCAAGGAACACGACCTTGATCAGCTCCACTGTATCGCCTGAGCGGGGTTAGGACACTCGGATGATCTGTGTCATTGCTTCTTCGTCGGCCTGGTTTGGATCCTAGAGACAAAGACAGCACAGTAAGGATTAAAGCCCTGCACAAAAGCCTCAGGGCACTGCCAGCTCTCATGTCATGTCATCAAGGGAAAGCAAATAACTTCATGAAGTAAACCAAAGTCCTGTAATGTATTCTAGTCTGAAGACGCAGTTTAAGGTGGAGTTCCATTGTGAAAGAAGATGATGACTTTTCTTAAAAATCTGTAAAGCCTGGCCTTCCATCAAGAAGCTCTCCAAAATAAAGAGAGCTCTCCTTTTTCCTAAACACAGTGAGTTGGGCTCTACTCGGAACAGTGCTCAGCTGGCTAAGAAAAAAGACCCAGAGAGCCATGACAACAGGCTGGATGTGTGCCTTGACTTTCTGAGCATCACATCTAAACCCCGACTGTTTAGCAGGGCTGGAAAAAGCACTGGAATCTACATAATTTAATGCAGTTATTTTGCTGATAAACTCGAAGCCTGGATGGGCAGTGATTTGCTTGGACTGCAGCCGTAAGATGAGAAGCCCAGCAAGGGTTCACTCCTGAATCTTTGGGCTCCCACTCAACGCAGGGTATTGCTTCTCACGTAAGATGTATGGCGCTAGATCACCAGGAGGCTTCTGCATGCTCCACACCAAGCACCTCTGACGCTTCAGCAGGCAAGGTCAAGGCAAGAGCTGCAGAATTGGAGGGTGCCAGGTCTTGATCAGGCACCACACACAGCACTAATGGGTGCCTACTGTGCATTCTTGTACAAAGGCCCGAAACATCCCTGTAAAGTACCTGACAGCTTTCTGTTTCACCGATGAAAGTGACTAACACAGGCTCTAAGCAGCACGACCAATTGTACACTGTTTGCACCTCCAAATGAAGTTCCTGGCACAGGGCTCCCACAGCTGGCACCCCACACTCACAAGGTGCAGCACTGACAGTGCTGATGGAGTCATCAGTGCCCATGCGGGGGCACTGAGGAAACCCAGTCTGCCTGCTGAGTCATAGTCGCTTAGAAACTCCACAGAAATTATGTATCCTTGGGAGGGGGACTAACATAGAAACCATGCTGCTTAAAGACTCATCTGGCAGAAATTCAGGGACAAGGGGACAGTGTGGTATCATGTGATG